AACCGAAAAAAAAATCAGTGTGTAGCGGGTTTTAGTGTGTGACTTTAAATATTTTTCCAATTAAAATGAAACACACCAAGGTTTTCTACATAAAACGTTATAATATTTTATTAAAGCAATAATCTTACATTTGTTGACAATTATTCCATATGCCTCAGACATGAATACAAGGGACTGCCATCGCTTTCACCAGGTATTCCATGTAATTAGCTTTGGAAGAATAAGTCAACCGGCCACATTATCATGTTTCCAAGAAGACTTACTTCTTACCGTATGGATTGTCTATAAGAGAATCAAGGTCTGTTGTGTAAAACCATTGTCCTTTTATAGCGATCCAAACAAAGCTTTCAAAAGTATTGATCGAATATAATTCAAATTAACTCAATATCTTAACTGACAAACAAAAGCTTTTCTTTACGTTAGCAAACTAAAGGATAAAAGAGACAACATAAACAACGTTAAACTAACACTCAATCAGTGATCAATAGTCACTCAATAACTGTTGCGTTTGTTCGTTCACTCAATTTGTTTTGAATATTCGTTACAAACAATAAATATTTACGCAGTGCAAAGGTTCAAAGTCTAAACTAAATAATGTTGCACAGTGAATCAAAACAAAACAACAAGGATTAACGATAGGATAATAATGACTTATACTAATGTTTTTTCTTCTTATGAATATTTTATGGAGAAATAATAAAATATCTTGCTACAATCTCCCCCTTTGGAGTGCGGCTTCGGTCCGAAAGCACGACAACACATCTTAGGACTTCCTTGGTCTTCCTCTCTTGCGTATGGGATGCACAGGCTGTGGCATAATATTAGTAGTATCACCAGCATAAAGTGTCAATGCGGACGCATGATATGTACCAAGTGGGAAGTTGATATTTTCAGGAGAAGCTACTTCATAGGACGATGAACCAATTTTCCTTGTTATGACATAGGGACCGTCTCTCTTCGGAACGAATTTTGATGTTACTCCTTTTGACGCTTGGCTAAGTACATGGGTAGTAACCAATACTGTGGCTCCAACATCAAAATGTGGCTGTGGTCTTCTGTGGGAATCATATATTTTCTTGTTTGCATCTTGTCTTCCTTGTTCGCACTCCATGGAATCTTTAAAGATTTTTGATAAGTTGCTCATATAAGTCGAAATTTGAGGAACAAAGTTTTCACTTTCTACTATAGATCTTAAATCGTGATGTACGTCATCCAATGTTCTCAATTCCCTTCCAAAAGTCAGAAATGCGGCGGAAAATCCCGTAGATTGACATTTGGCGGTATTCATGGCAAACCTAATTGCACTTATATGGGTGGACCAAGTATTGTGATGTCCTTGAACAAGAATAGCCAGTTGTGCTTTCATATCGCGATTCTTACGTTCAACTGGATTCGCCTGGGGGTGGTACACTGGGGTAAATTGTTGTTGGATATTCATGCAGAATGTTACTTGCTGCATTATGGCAGAAATGAACTGGACTCCATTGTCAGTTTTAAGCCTTCTTGGGATTCCATAACGAAGGAATACCTCTTCTATTAGGACCTTAGCACATATTTCGGCAGTGGCTTCTTTCAAGGCGAAAAGCTCAGTCCAACGCGAAGCAACATCTTCGGCAATTAATATCCACTGATAACCATCAGCAGTTGGAGGCAGTGGCCCAAAAAGATCAACAGCTAGAACTTCAAAGCGTTGGTTGGAACTGGTTGTCTTCATAAGTCCAACAGGCTTCATGTTTGTTGCTTTATATCGCTGGCAGTCGATGCATGATTTAACATATTTTGTTATTTCTGCCCTCATACCTGGCCAGAAATATCTCTTAGAGATTCGTTGCATGGTTCTCTCCACACCATAATGTCCAGCAGTACTATCATTGTGATATGTATTTAAAATTTTAGGTCGCTCATGCTCAGGAACAACAAATTGTGCTTCATCGGTTTCATCATCATTATATCGATACAGGACTCCTTCGTTCATAATGTATCCTCGATTAGCCCAATGACTCAAATCTTCATCCTCAGATTCCAATGAATTGATGACCCGTTTTATGGCTTCATCCTTCATTTGTTCTGCACGTACTTCTTCTGGAGTTCTGGTAGGGAAATCAATTTGGATGTTTAAAAGAGGAGCAGTATTTGATTCATCATCAAAACCACTTGGACGAGATAACATGTCTGCCACCGAGTTAGATTTTCCTGGAGTGTATTCTACTCGAAAGTTGTATTGTTGTACCTGCAAAGCCCATCTGGCTAAACGACCGACAGGACACTTGACGGTTAGTAGCCATTTCAATGGTTGATGGTCAGTCATCATGATTATTTCTGCTCCTTCGATGTAACCTCTGAATCTTGAGCAGGCCCAAACAATTGCCAATGCTTCTCTCTCCGTGGTAGAATAATTTCTTTCAGCACTAGAAAGCAATCGGCTCACATATTCTATGGGATGTTCATCCCCTTTCTCCCCCTGGATCAAAACTGCTCCGAGAGCAAACGAACTTGCATCCGTTTTCATTATAAATGGCAAGCCATCCTGAGCTTGCTTCAGTATTGGTGGAGATATTAGCCTCTGTTTTAATTCATTAAACGCAACTCTCTGTTTATCCCCCCAAATCCATGTAGCAGTTTTCTTTGTTAAATCTGTAAGGGGTTTCGCTATTTCAGCGTAATTGCATATGAACTTACGATACCATGAGCATGTTTGAATAAAAGATATCAACTCCTTCAAGTTTCTGGGTTCCCTTTTCTCCGAAATTGCCTCTGTTTTTGCTGGATCTACGGCTATACCGGCAGGAGTTAAAATATGGCCAAGATATTTTACTTCCCGGCAACAAAAACGACATTTTGAATTGTTTACACGAAGTTTATATTGGTCTAGACGCTTAAACACCAAATCCAAATCTCGTAAATGTTCTTCAAAGTATTCCGAACATATTATTAAATCATCCAAGTAGGCAAATATAAATACTTCACTCAGGCCAGATTTAAAACGGTCTATAAGACGTTGGAATGTGGCAGGGGCATTTCTGAGGCCGAATGGCATCCTTGTAAATTTAAACAACCCAAATGGTGTAATGAAACACGTTTTATCACGATCTTTTTCAGCTACAGCGATCTGGTAATATCCACTCTGAAGATCCAATGTGGTCATAAACTTAGTACTTTTGGCGGCATGTAACAAATCGTCCATTCTTGGTAAAGGGTAGCGATCAGGCTCAGTAAAACTATTCAGTTTTCGGTAATCGACGCAAACACGTATGCCTCCATCTCTTTTTGGAACCATTACAACTGGCGATGCCCAAGCAGATTCACATTCTTCCACTATTCCCAAATCGAGCATACGGTCAACTTCTGCCTTTAACTCTTTAATCTTCGCGAAGGATAGTCGATAAGCAGGCGAAAATATTGGAGATTTACTACCAGTGTTAATGGCGTGTTCCATAAAGGGTGTTGGTTCACAAATTTCTCCAAAAATTTCCCAATGGGTTTTCAAAAGTTGGTCCAATTTTGACTTTTCTTCATAATTTAGACAATGTCCGTCCGAAGGCTTTAAAGTAGTGAAATCCGCCATAAATAGAGGGGTGAAAATTGAGTCTAGATACTCGTCATTTTGTGATTTAACACGAAAAAGTTCAGCTTTGTTGCTACGCTCTGGAGTATCTTGTTCGTGCAGAGGTAGACAATCTTTAAAAATGTGGAGAATAGTCATTTCCGGTAATTTCCGGTCCAAAATCCTCAAATTCAGACATGTAGACTTCACGGTGGTACTTCTTTTCCACATGTACTTCATCTCCATGTTTCCTTTTCACAGCATCCGACGTTAATGAAGGCATCACTTTTGGGATAGGCTTTATGTTTCGATTGGCCACTTTAATCGTCTCGAGCAGATTCAAATTTAATGGCAAACAGTCTGGAAAATCGAAATGACTATTTGGATCATCTACAAAACACCAATATCCTTGGCCCATATTCATAATAATAGCTGCTTGCTCAAGAAAATCTGCTCCCAGCAATGTTCGATTATTGGCGGCATTTGGCAAAATAACGAATTGTATATTTAATGATCTGCCACCAATAAGTATTTTGCAAATAGTGGACAGACATTCTTGCACTGATCTGCTGCCGTCTGCTAAAGATATTTCCATTCGCACCTTATTGTATATGCAACCATGGAAATCCATTACCTTCTTTAGATTGGCACTAGCGATACTGGTACGAGCTCCTGTGTCCATATATGCCTGACCTGGTACACCGAACATCTGAATATTCGCCAGTGGAATCTCTCTTCCAACTGTACGAAGTGACATATTATTAAAACCAACATGTCCTTCAGCATGTCCTTTATTTTTGTTTCCGCTGCAGTTGGGACAATTTGCTCGAACAAATCCTGGAGCATTACAACCATAACATGCCAATTTCGGTTTTTCCGTATTGGTTTGAGCAATATAATTGGCTTGTTGCCTAGCTTCGGATTCAATTTTCTCCTTCTTGAAGCAATTGTCTCTAGTATGACCCTTTTTGCGACAATACGTGCATCGAATTGAACCACCGGCAGCTACATTCTCAGTGTTCACAACCTTGCCACGCTCACCTAGGGAATCTTCAGCTTCTCGTGCATCATTGAGTAATTCGTCGAAATTTGCCACTTTATGCCGAAAAACTCGATCACGAATTTGGACGTGAAGCATTCCAAACAGGATGTCAATTTGGTCACTTTCAGACGGAGCTTTTGGAAGTTTTGCAAATAATGCTCTCTTCTTCTTAATGAAAACATCAGTGGCTTCGTTTTTCTGCTGCTTTCCATCAAAAATCTCAGCATATATGCGCCATGCTTTGCTGTACAAAAGGCATCACGAAGCATCTTCACTACATCCTCAAATTTCTTCGCTTTAGATTTTACACCACTCCACCACTCAGAAGCGTCGCCTAACAATAACATCGGCATGCTGTTGATCGCATCCTGATCACCTATATTTTCCACCGTTTTAAACGTAGTGATAGCTGAGATGAATTCCTCCAGCTTAGTTGAATCTTTTTCTCCATTATACCTAGCCGTGCAGTGAGTAAACGTGCCAACTTTAACATTAGCTGCAGCTACGGCTTTAACCAGCTTCTCAAACTGCTCGGTTGTTAGAGATGTACACGTCATTGTTTGTAAACGTGGACTTTTTCTTCTTGGGGTTACAGGAATTTCCATACAAATTAATTGGGTTGAATTATGTTTGTTGGGCGCCAATTATGTAGCGGGTTTTAGTGTGTGACTTTAAATATTTTTCCAATTAAAATGAAACACACCAAGGTTTTCTACATAAAACGTTATAATATTTTATTAAAGCAATAATCTTACATTTGTTGACAATTATTCCATATGCCTCAGACATGAATACAAGGGACTGCCATCGCTTTCACCAGGTATTCCATGTAATTAGCTTTGGAAGAATAAGTCAACCGGCCACATTATCATGTTTCCAAGAAGACTTACTTCTTACCGTATGGATTGTCTATAAGAGAATCAAGGTCTGTTGTGTAAAACCATTGTCCTTTTATAGCGATCCAAACAAAGCTTTCAAAAGTATTGATCGAATATAATTCAAATTAACTCAATATCTTAACTGACAAACAAAAGCTTTTCTTTACGTTAGCAAACTAAAGGATAAAAGAGACAACATAAACAACGTTAAACTAACACTCAATCAGTGATCAATAGTCACTCAATAACTGTTGCGTTTGTTCGTTCACTCAATTTGTTTTGAATATTCGTTACAAACAATAAATATTTACGCAGTGCAAAGGTTCAAAGTCTAAACTAAATAATGTTGCACAGTGAATCAAAACAAAACAACAAGGATTAACGATAGGATAATAATGACTTATACTAATGTTTTTTCTTCTTATGAATATTTTATGGAGAAATAATAAAATATCTTGCTACAAGTGTATTTTATATCAGGCTTAAGCCATGTTTCTGTGAACACAATCACATTAAAATCGCATTAAAAACTTTTAATGTATAAGCCTCTGAGCTTAGTATTTAAATTATTAACAAGTTTTAGTTTTTTGATATAATTATCAATCAAGGTTTGCATATTGTTATTTTGAAAGATTTAGCCGCATCCTATGGGTCTTTTGGGTTAGAACATATTTATGCGGATAATTTTCTAAGAAGGTTTATTTTTGGACATATCATCCATATAAATGTATATATTTTTGCGTACTTTTAACTTTTTAGAATCCGAAGTGCCTTTCATTTAAAAAATATGTGTATGACCATCTGACCAAAAAAAAAACTTTTTTCCACAACGCTTCCAATTTCCAATTCCAATTTTGGTTCATGATTTTTACATCACTACCATACAAAGGCCCCCCTTAATTTGGGTTTTCATTTTTCCAAATAAACAATCTCTAGCAGACAATATCACAGTCAAAGAAAATAGTCGTATTTCTATACAAAGAAAATAGTCGTACGGAGATTCCCTGTTCTGGGCTAAACGAGTTAAGAAAGAAATCAATAAAGGCAAGATAAGTAGCGGAATTCTGCAACAAGAAAAGAGCAAAAGGCTATCGAATTCAGCATTATTTCATTTAATTTAAAATTTTCGTGATTAAGGGTTTTTGTCGTTAGCCGCATTGAGATACTAAAACGTATGTTTTGGTAATGTAAACCCAAAACCTTTAGCTGTGATCTTTATTTCAAATTTACTCGCTTTCAATTGAATCTACATAATACAATAAATATTAATAAAATATTTCTAATACTAATTTGTTTGTGAAGAAGACATTAAGAACAACAACAATATTGTTTTGTCATGATATACATATATGAGATATACTATAAAAAAAAATCCATATAAAGAAGAATTCTACCAATATTAATTTTTATCACTTACTATATATTTTCAGATCATACCCTCCACTAACTATTACTGGCTTCCGTTTAGAGTCCTCAGATCATGAGGTCGAATACGACAATGGCATACCCAGTGTTATGAGTGAATCCCCATTTACTATAAGAATTTTTGGATTGGGAATTACCGAAAATACTGTGATAGCGTTTACAACTGAAGTCAAAGAGGCCGGAACTTATTGCCAATTTCCGGCTACATTATTGCACAAAGTTATTAATGGTACGGTAACGGGCAATACGGCCCTCTATGAAGCATCTTTACCGAAGGGCAAAAAGGATTTTTATATTTGTGCTAAAAATGATGTCAATGCTTTTCGTGATGAGGACGTAGAAAATCCCATACCCCTTCTGCACCAATGCAAGGATTCGTGGTGCATTGTACGCAGTCACGAAAGTTTACTGCCCCTATGGGTGTCCATAGTTATTATTTTGATTTGTTTGTGCTTCTCGGCTCTCTTTTCGGGCTTGAATTTGGGTCTGATGGCTTTAGATCGCACCGAGTTGAAGGTAATTTTTAGTTGTCAACTTTGCCCTTTCTTGTTTTGTATTAAGTGTTTCTTCATTTTGTAATCAATGTAGATTTTGCGGAATACTGGCTCGGACAAGGAACGTGAATATGCCAAGAAAATCCAACCAGTAAGAGATCAAGGTAATTACCTGTTGTGCAGTATCTTGTTGGGTAATGTGTTGGTTAACTCGACATTTACAATTCTCTTGGATGGCTTAACTTCCGGTCTAATTGCTGTGGTTTTCTCTACCCTTGCTATCGTCATTTTTGGTGAAATTACACCACAGGTTAATTGAAATGATTTTAATCGAATTAAGTGCAATATGAAATTACATATAACTAATATATTTTATTATCCGAAAATTTAGGCAATATGTTCCAGACATGGCTTGGCGGTTGGTGCCAAAACGATTTTAATTACCAAATTCATTATGCTTATTACCTTCCCGTTGTCCTATCCCACATCGAAAATATTGGACGTTTTGTTGGGTGAAGAAATTGGTAACGTCTATAATCGTGAACGTCTTAAGGAATTGGTTAAGGTAAGCATGTCACATTAATTTTATTTTGAAATCCACCATCAACACCATCCGCAGTAAATTTTAAAAGGAAACGATTTATTGGTTTGAAATGCGTTTTATTAAAAAAAAATATTTGAATTTGTAAATTTTTTGCTTTTGAAATTTTTAGGTCACTACAGGTATCAACGATTTGGACAAAAACGAGGTCAATATCATATCTGGTGCACTCGAGTTGCGCAAGAAGACTGTTGCCGATGTTATGACACATATCGATGATGCTTTTATGCTGCCTTTAGATGCAACGTTGGATTTCGAAACTGTATCGGAAATTATGAAATCTGGTTTCTCTCGTATACCGGTTTACGATGGCGATCGTAAAAACATTATTACCTTATTGTACATAAAAGATTTGGCCTTTGTTGATCCTGACGACAATACCCCATTGAAGACATTGTGTGAATTCTATCAAAATCCTGTTCATTTTGTATTCGAAGATTATACACTTGACGTTATGTTCAATCAATTTAAAGATGGCACAATTGGACATTTGGCGTTTGTACATCGTGTTAACAATGAAGGCGATGGTGATCCTTTCTATGAGACAATTGGTTTGGTAACTTTGGAAGATGTTATCGAAGAATTGATTCAGGCAGAAATTGTTGACGAAACCGATGTATTTGTTGATAATCGTACCAAAGTTAAACGTAATCGCAATAAAAAACAAGATTTCACTGTATTTGCCGAGCGTCGCGAAAACCAAACCATTCGCATATCGCCCCAATTGACTCTGGCTACATACCAATTCCTAAGTACTTGTAAGTTCATATTAAATATGCATAAAACTTGTTTTCCCGACGTAATTATTTTTTTTTCTTCTTCAGCAATTGATGCCTTCAAAAAGGAATTAATATCCGAACAAATATTACGCCGTCTTTTGAACCAGGACATAGTTCACAGTATTAAATGCAAAGGAAAGGAAAAAGACGATCCTTCCCTTTTCATCTTCCAACAAAACAAAGCGGTCGACTTCTTCGTACTTATCTTAGAGGGTCGTGTTGAGGTTACGGTTGGTAAGGAGTCATTGCTCTTCGAAAGTGGTCCATTCACCTATTTCGGCACCCAAGCTTTAGTATCTAATGTGGTTGTTGGTAAGTTTTTCATTTTTCATATATATTGATTACTATTGTTCATTTGAATTTATTTCCAATTATAGATTCTCCCTCTCAAATGGGCTCATTGCAGTCACTAACACTGGATTCTAAAGTACGTCAGACATTTGTACCTGATTATTCAGTCCGTGCTGTTACAGATGTCATATATATTGCCATCAAACGAAACTTATACTTAACAGCTAAAAAGGCTACTTTGTTGGAGAAATCTCGAAAATCGGGTGCTGAACCTAGTACGGCTGAATTCGATGATGAAGTAGAAAAGGTAATTTCACAAATTTTAATAACTGTTTTTTTTTGTATAATAAATACCATTCATTTACATTGCTATAACATGAAGCTAAAATATATCTTTGAACTTAACACTAGAACGCCGAAGGCGGTCATTTTGAAAGCAATTGTGCATTTAATGACACTTTTTTTTAAAAAAATTTGGTGACTTTTTGTACCTCATAGAATTACGTTTATTATAAAAAATTCACCAAATTTAAAAAAGTGTCATTAAATGCACAGCTTTTGTACTTGAAATTGGAAAGCGGTCAAAATGACCGCCTTCGGCGTTCTAGTGTTAATCACAGACATTTAAAATGTTCCAGTGTTAACGGCAAACGGTATCCCATATTATTCTTCACCCATTTTGGCCCAATGTTGCCCACAGGCAACAAAATGTTTTAGAGCTTATATTTAATATTCAGCTAGTAGATATATTTTCTTTGCATTTCATATGTCAAGGCCTGATTATGGACGACACATATCAAAGAAAAATCTAAAAAAATTAAAATTTTTGATAAAGTTAAGTCAATATAGAGAAAGCACAAATGTATGTACAGTACTAATGTGTGTATACAGTCCAAATTATTTAAATCGCTTCGTATTCGAATTGTACGAATTCTTCCTTCAGAATTGATGTTGATTCTTGTAAAAAAAAAATATAGAGAATAATTTAAAATGATTTTCCGGCAATTTTGCATTTGGTTTTCTTGATAAAGCACTTATATTTTTCAGAAAGAATGTATTGTATCTCCCGTAAGCAAGGATTTAGAGATGCCAAATTTTGTTCATATCCTATTTAGGACAGTTGCATTAAATCTGTGAACAGAAATTTGTTCTAATATTGCGGAAAAAAAATTGTGGCTTAAAGGGTTAAAGAAGCCTATATAACATGCTTTTAATTTTGAATACAGAAATAAAATTTCTGTAATAAAGTTTTTCAAATTAAGATGTATTCCTCCTCAGATATAAATATTGATTTTATTAAATCTCCAAATACTGATTTGGGTCGTATAACAGTTACGGTCCCTGTTTTCTCAAAGTTAATTTAAATTACAAGTAGTTTATGGGTATTAGAAAAAAAGGAAATATATGCCAAAAAAACAGTAAGGAATGATCAAAAGTCGGACGGGGCCGACTATATGATACCACTTTGGGTACATAAAATATATGTTAATATCTACAATATCCTGTAGATTGACAGAATCGTTGAAGGACCATTGAGATGGAATCGGGCGAAATTAAATGTGCTATCTAGATAGATATATGAACCAATTGAAAAAACCCATACACATACCATTCTGGAATCACTGAAATATGTTATGCCAAACGGGCAGACTTGGTTTCTTTGCTGCACCATTTGTATGAAAACGAGTAAAATTATGTATGGGAGGAGCTATATATACACCATTTGTTTTTTATTATCACTCTATATTCAATTTAATACCCTCTGTCAGAATTCTTCCTGTGCCCTTACAACCAAAAGAATAAAAGTTTACAATTACACTGCGAAAACATTGTCACCCATGTACAATTTGTCGACAACTGAAAAAGCTAGCCAAAGTGGTTTACGCAGATAAAGAACAAGATTGTGGTAGCGGGTCGGAAAAAATTTAAACCAAAATTTTATGACCGCTGTTTAAAGGTGCCCCCTATTCATAATAATCGGCCGAATATGGCTTTGTGTAAGAATTTAAATAAATAAATTAGCTAAAGTATTGCCAAGGGCTCAGAACTTGACAGTTTCGGCACCATTAAATTCTTAAAAGGTTTTGCAACTGTTTACAGTTTTATTCAAATTTTTCATGAATGTAAAAAAGTACCTTCAATAAACAAATTTAGGCATTTATTTATACATACATTTTTCTGCTAAGCCTGTATTTTGCTTACCATCAATACAACCAACGAACTTCCTTTGTAACGATATAAATTGCAAGTTTCTTTTTAACCGCTGAGCGTATAAAACAATTAATTTATTAAATTAGTACATAAATTGTGCATAAAACAAACAGCGAAAACATAGAGGAAACCATTTTTTTAATTAATTACTAAACAAATATTTATATGTTTTAGCTATTACACTCTATACATGAGGATGATAGACCACATCATATACGCAGTAATCAAAGTATACGTAAAGGATCTACGGCAGTGGGTAGTAATACAGCCTCGCCATCTTTTAATGTAAGTTTTCTTACGTACTTTTTTGAACGAAATTATCACTACTCCCTTATCATTTTCAGGACTTTTCTTCACAGCATAGTCGAAGTATACTAGCAGCCGTTAACCAACCTAATTCTGGTAGCAATAGTGGTGATATCAATGATGCCGTTTCCCTAAGTAGTCTAATGACTTCTGAGGCTGCAGCAGCCGATTTTAATAACGCAGCTGCTCGACGCAGCAGTACCGGCGACAATACAAGCCATGCTAACAACTGTGAAAAAGTTAACAACAATGACGTAGTTACTACACCGTTGTTGCCTAAAACCAACAATACTAATGGAAAATAACAAAAAGCTTTTTAACAGTACCGGCTGCTGTTATCCACAACTCCAACTAAGATATTAAAGAAAACCCCCCCAAAACAAACAAAAAACTTAAAGAGAAACCAGTTATGCACTTCAAACTTAATTTCGTTCTTCATTTTTTCTTTAGTAATTTAATTAAAAAAAAAACAATCCTTCTGTTCTACTCTTCAAACACTATTCTGTTAATTGAAATATATCGTATACAAATTAAAACGTTATAATTTTAAAATATATTATATATGTATGTATATACATATACGAAAATGATAAATGAAAAGGGCTTTGCAAGAAGAACAAGAAAAATGCATAGATATTTTCTGAAAACCTATGATAATTAACATTGATCAATAAAATAGCATATACTATTACAGAGCATTTATTTGTAACATCTGAAATTACAAGTGATATACACATTGTTTATCGCAATTATATCAAGTCACCCCCAATTCCAATTGTTTGCAAGATTAAAGTAAAGTCATGTAATGCGATTGGGAGCTATAATCTTTTACATTTCTTTAGAACAGTTTCTAGTTCATAGAATTCGTGAACTATTTGGATAATTGTTCAATGCCTGTGCCGCCTCAGCTCCAGATGTAATAATTCATGTTATAATAATACACATATGAAATACATGTACATTTTGCATTCTGCATCCAAACGGGGTATTCATTAATGCATTTACATTATATGTCCTCTACAACTTCAATAATATTAGATGTCAAAACTTATTCAACAGAATGTAATACACCCCATAGAAAATATTTTCAATTGTGACAGTAATTAAATTAATTAATTCCCATAATTTTTATTACTTGCAATACGTATGATATTAAAAAACTAATTAATCCAAAAATTTGCAAGAAATAAATTTTGAATGTTGCTTTAGGATATAGTTAAACTTTTATTCATACATATTGTATGACAATTATTTATTTTATATTTAAAACTTGCCTTTACCCAGTAACAGTTACAAAATGAGATTAGATGTAAAACACACGAATTTTATCCAATAAATTTCTGAATTTTTCCATTATATTTTTGCCAACAACATAATTGTACGTTATGATTTTTCACATACTATTAATAACTACCAAATTTCCATGCACTTTTTCTATGTCTTCTTGCTCGGCCAAACGAAAAAGAATTACCAAATAATAATAATAATTAAGTATTAATTCTATCGAAAACTATTTAGAAACAAACAAAGCAATCTAAAACAGAAGACGTAACTCTTCTTCCAAACAATCGATTTTTTTCTATTATTTAAAATTTTGTGATTACTATTTTAAAGAAAACAGAAAATAATAATATATTAATCAAAAATTAATGTTAAAACTAACTAAAAACACATTTATATTTCAATATATATATGTGTGTTGTTTTCCAATTTAGTTATACAATTGAATTAAAATACGAATGTAATAATTTAATATTTAATACCTCATTGCGTACAACAAAAAGAGAGTCAGTCGTGTTTTTATATAAACAATTGCAGTAGTGAAACAAAACAAAGTAATATTTATACGTTTGCAAACGAAGAAAACATCAACAAACTAAGTTACTTACCGTATGTACTTAAGCCTAAAAATACACCACTGTATTATGATGTATTATTAAGAAATTTGAGCGAGAATGTTTTGTTTTTGTTGGTTATAATATATAATATTGTTTAAAAGTTAAGTTTTCCATTGTTTTTTTTTAAGTTTCATGTTCTAGATTTCTTATGTTCGGTTCAGAATATTTATAAATTTAAAAATAAGCTCATAATAAAGAATTTAATTTAATATTTGATCCCAATGTTGTATGGCTTATAATATGGCCAATAAAATCTTTCAAATGCCTTTAAATATGAATAAATTACAATATTTTATTAGCACAATAGTCATAACAAGCATTTAATATTATTTGGCGTCAAATATATTTGAATATCTAAATATGTTTCAAAGAAAACATAAATGGTTTCATATATTTTATTTGGGAAAACTTTCTATGTGAGGCTAAATCGTTTTTATGCCATTAAAAAAAAAAATCTTTTTTTTTTTTTGCTTATGAAAAACGTTACTTAGTGCATTTTTCACAGTAATGGAAAATTCAAAAATTCCTTCTCTATTCACACTAGTTTACTAAACTTTTGTGTAAAACATAAAACATTGCCAGACTTATTCGGGAAGTCAGTTCCACGTGAATTTACTCGCTCTTCCCCTTCGACTTATTCTGAAGAACATTTCACAGAGAAATTTTTTCACATTCTCGTTTTCGCGAGAATGAAGTTCGAATAAGAATATGAAATATTTGAACACATTTTATAATTTTGTTTCGCCATTTTGTTTACTTGTCTAAGATAAATGAATATGACGTATTTGGGTAATAGGGCCGTAAAAACGTTTTACCGTAGTGGGGAAGTTGAATATTTTTGTACGCTTCGTTGGAATTTAGGTAACGTTGTTAGATTAGGACAATGTCTATTAATAAGGTCAATCAAGTAATTTCTATGATTTGTGATATAGAATTTCAAAATTTTTGGATCACCACATTCGATCGTAATTTCTATGATTTGTGAATGAATCAATAAGTAAATCATATCCCCAACTCGATTTTGAAAAGAAAACCTGGCATTTCATTAATTTTGGTAAAATGTTAAAAATATGTCAAATGAAAAGAACGACTTGTTTTTGTTTACATTTCTTCTGACATTATTGCCCTTAAGATTTAATTATACCATGGTTGTTTTCTCCATTCTAATTTTTCATTTGAACAAAGTATTTTTTTAATTAAACGTTTATTGATAGAAATTATGCTTAATGTTTACATTTTATATCAAATCAAAATTACATAATATTTATAATTTACTGACTTACTGATTGGGGGGATGAGGATTGATAATGATCATAATAATAATGTAATGTAAATATGATTTCATTGTCGTTTTTGTATAGGCTTCATTTATATTAAAATTCTTACAATTAAAGAAAATGTATTTCAGGTTCTACTTCATTAAATTTGTATGTTCTAATTTGTGATATGAAATTTGACAAAACTTGTGAAAAGAGATCCATCCATATAATTTGAAATTTATACCCCATTATTATGATTTGAATTGAATATTTCTAGGTTGATGATAAGGAATACCAAAATTGGAATTTGAATCCACTTCTATTTTAAAAATGGAAATACTGTCACTAGTAGTCTACATAAGTTATGATACAATTTGACTCGTTTTAATTCAATGTAATGGTTAAGAGGAGTCTAAAGATGAGGAAAGGACGAATAAAACGGGCAAGCATCATAATTAAAATGTTATTAATAATAATATGGTGAAAATTCAGTTTTATTGAGTGAGTGAATTATTTATAATATGATTGGAAATTTGGCCTAGGCTGCTGTTTTCAGATTTTTTACAAAAAAAAAAAACAGCTTTGTCGAAAAAAATATATAATATTGATCGGTTAAAATACTATGAAAATAAAATAAAAATGTGTTTGCAAATTGTAGTCTTTTCATAATGGAATACTGCCACCTGACAAAATCTTGACATCTTCAGACAGTGTGTGTTTTCGTAATGGAGTTTACTGTTTTTAAGATTGTGTTATAAATTAACATCTAATCCCTAATTTCTAAACTTTTGTTAGCAGCTTTTTATAAGGTGAAGTTAGTTAAATGGATTGGTTTTTGGAGAAATGATAGGAGAAATTATATGTAGTATGTATTTGTTCACTTTATATATGCTGCTACTTGACTTTTGCTCAATAATTGCTAATCTCTATGTGAATTTGAACGCGAACGTGAAATAGAGGAACCACCTCCTCCACCGTGTCTACGAGAGGATTCTGTGCGGCTTCGTTTTGAATGAGTAATGCGCTTAGGAGATGGAGAATCGTGTTCATATCTTCGTTTTGGCGATGGTGATTCAGCAATTGCTGCGCCTCCATTGCGTTCTTCTTCGCTGTATCTATAAGCTGATTCGCCATTTTCACGTCCATTTTCTCGTGATCGACCATATGTTTCTCTAGCTTTGCGTGATGTTTCTCTTGTTCCTGATACAGAACGGCTGCGTGAACGCGATGCAGATCTGGAATGAGATCGACGTCCTCTTGATACACTTCGGGACCGACTGCGTGAATGGCTATAAAAAAAAAATAATTAGTTTTAAAAAAAAAGTACTAAAGTAAAATGCAATAGTATTTCCTTCCCTTATCGGATTTAAGATAATTTTGCAAAATTAATATATAAATATGTTGAAGAACAAAAGTTGTTTCGTTAAAAACATACTTGCAACAATTGAATATACTTAAAAAGTTTGTTTTCCAATTTTATGATATGGGAACATTAATGTTTTCGTGAATTTCAATAATTGCACGAAATTTAGGTATTTTAATTTTACCGATATTTTTCGGCAACAAGCAATAAAGTTACCGAATATAAAGATAATCCATCCATAACATAATCACAAATACAGAAAGTATTTCCGAACTGAAACGCCCCGAGTCATACTAGGTCAACGACAGTTATCTTAGCCCATTGCACAGCAACAACAAATAACGAATTCATTTAGATTGGGGGATTATTCCCTTCAAGAATTTGTTGAAAGTAAAATTGACACCTATATTACACTCAATAAACTATCAGCAATTTGCTGTTACATTGTATTTTTATACACCATTGTATATCCTTTAATGGCACTGAAACTTGTACAAATGTTATTTTTATTCAATATATTGCCTTTATTTCGATATATGGATTTCTTGTTTACAATCGCTTAAAATTCGGTATTCTTTTATATGCACTGGGTCTAAATAATTTAGAAGAAAGGACTATTACTTCCGATCCAGAATTTGAATATTTCGTGAATTCTGAATAAGTGTTAAATATATCATAGGAACAGGAAAGTGAATTTATTAATAAGGTATTCTGAGCAAATAATCTGAGGGAAAATGTTAGTTGATATCGAGTGAGTTTTTATTCGACAATAAATTTCGATACGATCATACCTACTGTATGACACAATCCAATCGGAATTGTTCAACAAAAATTATCGATTTTTTCGAGAGTAATCGGTATGTCAAAAACATGTGTTCTCGCGAATGTTCGCATTGTACGAAAAATTCACGAACGATAAAATTTCGCTGCAAGCATCGTCGATTCGTTCTCAGAATGCAAAGAATGATTAAAATACGCTCCTTCTCACGAATGCTCGCGGCGAGAATTCGAATGTTTTCAATTTATCGCAAATAATAAATTTACAATGAATGAAAAATTCAAAATTCCGGAACGTTTGTTTTCATTCGTGAGAGAATGTCAGAAATAATTTCAACCACCAAACGAAACGAACGATCGTTGTTGTGTGCTCTCACTCGTTTGTTTTGTGTGTGCGATCATTCTTTATAATTTATCGCAATAAATTCATTCGTAAAATGAGCTCAAAAAGAAAAGAATGTATTTTGAATCATATTCGAGCGAATTTTTGCGCACCCTGGATTGCTTATGCATATCGTCATCATAAATGCAAACGGACGTAACTACAGAAAAATTCAAAATTGATTTTTTGTTTGATTATTGTTCGTTTATTCAAACTACATGTTCACACAAAAATTCAATCGGGCGTAACTACAATAGTATGTTTTTATTAATGCAAAAAAGCGTAAATACACTCCCGTAAAAAATTAAAGTTCGCAATATTGAAGATAGAAAATTTGAACATCTGGGATGATATATCGGCAAATTTTTCACGGTAGCCCCCATATAGCGGTAACCTTAAATTCGGCATTTTAAGGATTTTCTTTATTTTTTTTTTTTTTTTATCTAATCAGCTGGTACTTTTTGTTTCCCACTGGGTGGAAAAGTACCCTGTGCAAAGTTCAATCGCTATCGGAGAAATATTTAATGTCTTTATTGCAACATTTACATAAATCGGTCGAAACTGTATATGGGAGCTATATCAAAATCTGAAACGATTTTCATGAAACTTAGCACACATCACTCTAGACTCAATTCAATACGCAATGAAAAATTTCGTGCAAATTGAAAGAAATACAGGGGCTATAATGCACCATTTGCACAAAATCTGACGAAAATGTGTGTGGGAGCTATGTCTAAATCTGAAACGATTTTCACGAAACTTAACACACACCACTCTAGACTCAATTCAGTACGCTATGCAAAATGTTGTGTGGGAGCAATTTTCACGAAACTTAACACACACCACTCTAGACTCAATTCAGTACGCTATGCAAAATGTTGTGCAAGTCGAGTAGACTCAATTCAGTACGCTATGCAAATTTTTGTGCAAATCGAAAAAAATAAATATCTTTCTCCTGACTATAGTATGAACCCATATCTATTTATATTTAAATCATGTCATGGTACAATTAAAAAAGGTAACAGCAAATCCCAGCTGATTTGATTCCAAAGTAATACTAGTGTCAATAAGAATTTGACAAATTATGTTTTTAAAAATCACCCAACAGGAAATTTGGGAACGCATACAATTCGAAATTGTAACTTATTAAATGTCCTCCCATATTGAATTTACTCAATCTGCCTGCTGGGTAAGTTTGAGGAAGCAAATCATTCTTCATAATAACTCGCAATTCCCAGCATGTTCATATGTCTTACACATATAAGCGGCAATAGCTCAATTATACGAAAGCTGTGGAAGCAATAGAAATATAAATTTGATAGATTTTCATTCACGTTTTTCAATTTTATTTTGAGGATTCGAAAATATTGCATTAAAAAAATTAATAAGTATCGTTCCAGAACCTAAAAGAATCTACTAATTTTACATGTTTTCCAACTTTTTACTCGAAAACCGTTCCTCAACACAAAACAAAAGGGCGTTCTTTTTGAAAACTTTACTCGAGAAATTTGGTCGAGTAAAAATGGTAAACAGGAATGCCTACTTTTGATTGGCTGTTATGTTGATTTTGAAGTATTGCCATCTATCTAATTTTGGCATATTTACTAGATTTGCGTTCCCGAACTTTTGAAATTATTTTGTACTCTGAGAGCAATTTTGAAATGTTTCCCTTTTACTAGATTTGACACTAGTATAACTAACAACAAATTTCCACGTGGTTGTTGTATCGTTTGTTGTACAACAACACTTGCTGTTACCTTCTATTATTATACCATGAATTCATGTTTTCCATTTTGCCTTGTATAGACGCATGGAGCAAGTTCAAAAGAGAACGATAAAAATTGCCGCAAGTAAACTCGCCTAATATAAATCAGGACTAAAACTGGAAAATTTTTTGTTTGACTTTTCCACATTTGTTTTGCACGCTAATTAGAACCAATCGGAAAGAAACGCATTTTGCATTATGTAGAAAACAAAATGTACATCCCGCTGCATATATAAACTATACAATTTTTTACTTTTCATCATTTTCAATTTTGCGAATTGAACAATATACAAAGTCGGTGTTCGCTCAGAAAATTTTGTATCATAATTAAGGGTCGAACAACGAATGAGAGAGCGAACAACGCTCGTCGGTACATAGCATAAAATTCTATACCAATGTATATTAAGGTATTATTATATATCTACATTGTTCTATACTAATGAATATTAAAAAATATTCAAATGAAAACTCAAATATACAAAATAATTTGTAGAAAAATAAGACATGTTTGTATATGTTTATGTATGTGCATTTCATTGTTTAATTTGTACATTTTTTTGTAAAAAAAAATATTAATACATTAATCTAATGTACAGCATGAAAAAGCTCAATTAGAAATCTTACATGCTAAGAGGATAATAAAATCATAAATCTACAGGAAATATAATGGCTAACAAAACTATAGAACGAGAACTTAACACCCTAAAAACCTAATCGTCCGTTTGCTCCTTTTCTTTTTTGGACTTTTTCTTCTTTGACGGCGTGGGTGTCTCCACAACAGCTTCTGTTTCCTCTGGCGCTTCCTGGTCTTTGTTCTTGTTTTTCTTCTTCTTCTTTTTCTTCTCAGATTTTACATCCTCTGATGCTTCTTCAGCTGGTGCTTCGTTATTCTCTTCATCCTCATCTGACACTTTTGGAGCCTTTAGGGGTGTAGTAAAATCTGTAGCACCAGATTCTGAATGTTTTCGTTTTTTAGCGGACAATGTGCTATCTGCCTCAGGCTGATAGGTGAACACCTCACTACAAACAAAGAAATTGGATAAGTAAACAAGAAATTCATAATTATCAAACATCTATTTGATTACTAAGCTCATTTCAGACAGCCAAGGTTTTATCATCACTGGGAATTTGTATCAGATGATTGCGAAACCTTTGGGGTATCATCATAATGAGATGTATGTAATCAAATAAACCCATGAGGTAAATACAAACCTTTTAGCTTGATATTTTTCGAATTTAGCTTTAGCTTTTCCTGTACCCGAAAGTTTACGCAAGTTTCCTTCTTCCAACAGTCTTAGGCGCGCTTCTAATTTAACTTTATGACTAGCACCTAGTTCAAATGTAGCTTCCTCGCCAAAGGCATCAACACGTGTCGCCAATGACGCCTTAGCTGCCAAGGAACGTGACATTTTACCTTTGTTTTTCAGACTAGCTTGACCAACCAGCTGAGCGTGGAATATTAAACCGTACTTAGGTGTATCCTTCTTTGTTTTAAGAGCTCGGAACAAAGCTTTTTCGGCACCCAAAATTTGTACTGTGGAAGATGGGTGCTTGGCCAAATTTATTAATGAACCGGCATGGGCAATTAAACGAGCACCGACTGTTTCTCCCACCAGAACTGTTAGGTTGGGTGCCATAGCCATCATACGTGTCTTTAGATAGTCATATAAATGTGATCTGTAGTCATTGATGGATAATATTTCATCACACAAACATTGTATATTCATTATATCCTCTTCAGATATCTCAGTACCCATAGAAATTTCTGCAGCTTCTTTTACTTTTTCTTCGACTTCTTCCGGTAGAATATCTGACAAATCAGTGGCGGCCATGTTTTCCCTTGTACCAACCAATTTGATAGTTTTCACAAAGGCAATATTGTCGGTAATGATTTTACCCAACTCAGGAAAATGCCAGCCATACCATTCTCTAGCTCTCATCATATAGTTGTTCAGTTCCTTGTCGAGGTCATCAAGTAAACATTGTGCCTGCACAATCATTGTATCAATCTTATCGGGAGAGAACTTCAATTTGTAACGGGAAAGACTGTGAGCCAAACCCAATGCCATGGCGGTCATCTCTTTTTTTGGTAATCCACCCAATAAACTATCGGCCTGTTGACGTATACATCTCATCAACTCCTGAACTCCTGTGTTGTATACACATTGAACAGAGAATTTTTCTTTGATGGCATTGCCCAATTTTGCATCGGCCACCAACAACGATTCCTGAACTTCGTCGTTCAATAACTTCTTCAAAGTCTTTTTTAGAGGTTTAGACACTTTGCCTTCCACGGCTGCTGTTGCCGCTGCCAGTGCTTCTGTTGTGTCGTTAAATTTCTCAAAATGCTTCAGCTTCAACAATTTGTTGGCTTTTTCGGGTGTCTGGAATTCCAAATAGAGGTTATCCACTTCCTGCACCTTTTTTTCATCCAACAGCTTGAAAATGGCGTAACCCGCCGGAGTTTCGTATAAAACAAACATTATACGCTTGCTTTGTTACAATTATTTCAACACACAAATTGTAAAATACTTTAAATTTTAACTCAATAATATTGCTATTTAACCAGCACCGTGGATGAAAAAGAAACTGGTCCACGCGCTTTCGTTGAAAATCTAAAATGAAAGCATGCACACACAAAACACGTGTGAGCAGACATTTTGTTAAGCGATTGCAGCGACACCTCGACGTCAAGTAGGAAATAAATGTTGCCACTTGCCTAATGTTAGCAGTTAATATCAACCCTGTTTCTTCACACTAAATGAAAGCGATAATATTAAACTTGATTTATATTTTTAATATAGGACGCACTTAAAACTCGCGAGAGTAAATTTGATTTAAATCGCAAAAGTTTATTCATAAAATATAATAAACCCAAAATATCAATATCAAGTTTTCTCGTCAACACTTTGTTTAGAATGTGATTATATATTTCATTCATCAAAAACTGGGTAATTCTGTAAATTTGAATTAGCGATTTCAATGGTTTGAATTTATTATAAACTGTGTGACATATATATTACAAATATGTGTACACATTATGGCATGTTCTGACGGACATTCGAACAACGTAGTTCGCTCTCAGAATTACGTACATGAATTAACCAGTTCATACAACACTATTCTTAATTCATGTCATCAGTATTTTTTATTTCAAACTTTTTGTTTCTTGTTTTACACCAAAATTCTAACATATTTGCATGAAACGCATATGGATCTAAATATAAAAAATAATTCTCTTTCTCCTGACTATAATATCAACTCCTATCTCTTTAGTCTCAATTTAGATTGGGCGAGTTTACTTGCGGCAAGTCTTTGTTTGCTGGAGAGAGGGGCAAGGGGAATAGCATTTGAAAAAAAATTGCCCGTACCGACAATTTTCTGGCAATTCGTTTTGTGTATTTTGTTTGTAGTGTCAGTAATTTGAAATACCAATCCAGAACATTGTCACAAAATGTAAAAAAAATATTTTTTTGAAACCGAATTGCCTTATATAGACGCATGAAGCAAGTTCAAAAGAAAACGATAATAATTGCCGCAAGTAAACTCGCCTAATCTAAATCAGGTCTTACTTTTAATTCAAGTTTTCTGAAAATATTGTTGTTTTCAATACATTTTTATATTTTCTCAACTCAAATTTCACATTTAAAAAATTGGAGAATTTTTGTTTGGGTTTCCCCACTTTTGTTTTTCGTTTTGTACGCTAATTAGAACCAAGGGGAAAGAAATGCATATTGCATTATGTAGACAACAAAATGTACATCCTTCTGCATATATAAAAACTAGAATTTTGGTTACTTTTCATTCAACATTTTCAATTTTACTGAAAATGTTTGAAAAATTGAAAAATTTTTTCATGCTGTCAAAATTAATTTATTTTCGATAAATTCTCTCAATTGTTAGAAATGAGACAAAATTCTTGGTGATTCAGAGAGCGATTCGAATTGAATAACGTACAAAAGTCGGTGTTCGCTCAGACAATTTTGTATGGGGAACTAAGTAATTACTTCATTATTAAGGGTCGAACAACGAATGAGAGAGCGAACAACGCTCGTCTGTACATGACATTAGAGTACTATGGTAAAATTTATTGCACGGACGTAATATTCAAATATGCAAAATATTAATCATCATTAAAAAGAAATATAAATTAAGAAACATATTAAAAATTCGTACAATATACTGAAAAACAACTTACATTTTCATTTAACTATTCATATTTTTTATCTAAACGTCTTTTATTTACTAACTATAACAAATGAAAAATACTGTACAATTATTCAAGGTAGGCCATAGCAACTTATAAATTACATTTTTTTCATATTGTGGCTTATTATGTAAAAGTCGGACACAAAATTTGTGGCTGTGTGTGAAATATTTTGAAAAAAATATAAAAAAGTATATTCCATTTGTTTAATGATGAATTTTACAACTTTGGCAAGAAGAAAAGTATGCTTTGTGGATGAATCAATATCTAGATTATATTCCAACTCAATTTTTGAAAATAAAACCTCATATTATTCCATTCATTTTTCGCGTTTTTAGTAAAATGTAAAATGTATGTCAAATGAACAGAACAACTAGTTGCATTTGTTTTTATTTATTCTGATATTATAGTCCACAACGTAGAGGTGTATTTTATTTTATTTTTTTTTTATAAAGTTAATCTACCTTGTATAATTGTACCATGGTTTCAATTAAGTTTGAAAAAATATATTTTTTTTAAATACTTTTGTTTAAAAACTTTCACTAAGGTTATCGAATGGTTTCTTTTGCTTCCATTTGAAAAAAAAAAATCCTTTCTAGAGCAACATGTATTCGAACGAAAGTATAATTGAAAGAACGCGTAAAAGGAGACAACTACCTTACAAATTTGGTTTCACTATAAGGAATTAAAATGTCGTTATACGTATGAAAATGATAAATTCAGTTAAATGCTTCATACCTTTCACATGGTTTAAAAATTTGGAACTCATCTATCAATTTTAAATAATATGAAAAATAAATTCCATAAAATTTTATGTATGTCGATTGGCATATTAAATATATTTTGTAAAGCTGAACATTGCTCTCAGGATTTAACCTGGTTATTACATCTTATAGTTATAAGCATGGTACAATAATACAAGGTAGGACAGCTGGAGGAGAATAACAAAAAAGCAACTATGCACGTGTGGCCTCTTCCGCCAAAAATATGTTAAATATACGCAACAAGTGTTTGTGTTTATTTGACATTTTTTCAACACAAAACTAAAAAGGAAAGGCTATGATTTCATTCCAAAATCCAGTAGATTATAACAAAGTAATTACGTCCAGACGCACATGTTAAAAACATAATGTTCATTTCAATTAAATTTGAATATATTTCAATTTATTTTGAATTTATTTGACATAGTATTCAAAACAATACGCACACACACAAAATATGTATTTTGATTTGATGGAACAAGCCACCGTGAGAAAAAATTGTAGTCAGTTGGTAGATGTGCCCTATCTTGTAATAATTATACCATGGTTATAAGTTTTAGAGGCAGGGAACTTCAAAATATTTTTAAACAAAAATTATGCGTACATTTTGAAGAAAGATATTTTCATTTAAATATTGAAAACTGAATACTGCCAAAGGCAAATTTATGAAAAAATCGCATTGGTGGGGAAGTTGAATATTTTTGTACGACTCGTTGGAATTTAGATAACGTTGTCAAATCGATTGCAAAATCTTCAATTACAGCAAAATACGGTTATAGCGAACTAGTAGGAACCAAGAAAATTAGTTCGTTGTAGAAGAGTTCGTTATATCCATGGTAAGGCAAACATGGGATAAGCAGAAAAAATATATTCCGTGCCGAAATTGTAAGTTTTAGTGCCCTTTTAAACGTGTCCGTTTAAATTTTGAAAGCTGAATGAATAGAAATTTGTTGTTGTAAGTTATACTAGTGTCAACGTCAAACAAATTATATTTATTTTGAAAATGTAATATTTTCGAATCCTCAAAATAAAATTAAAAAAACACGAATGAAAATCTATCAAATTTATATTTCTATCGCTTGCAGATCTCTCCTATAATTGAGCCATTGTCACTTTTTATAATTGTACCATGACAAAGAATAAAAAAAGTTTAAAATCATATGATTGTCACTTACACCTTATTTAGTCTTGGTTCATACATGCAGCTTTTTTAAGCAACAGCATTTATATATTTTTTCTGCACACTATTCCAGTAATAATTACCCAGTAAGTTTTAAATTGGCCTATTTTAATGCGTTCCATCAAGAACCATGTATGTAGTAACTCACACTATTTTTTACAATAAATTGGGTACAGTTCTTTTTTGACTGAAGTTCGCAAAAGGTCAAAATCCGTATCAGTTTATTTTTTGAGGTTAAAATGATTCAAAGAAAACGCAATTAAGGGGACCCCCCATTCTCGGGGTCAAATGTTGTTGATTTAATTCGATTCTACACTAATTCAAGATTGTCTCTAAAAAAATTTCAAGTGAGAATCTCAAGAACTCTTGAGGATATAGCCGATTTATTGTTTCAGCATCAAGTGACTGCTAAAATGCTTCTCAAACTTTAAACGCGTTTTTCTCTTTTGCGAATGGCGGGCACTATAACTCAAAAACTAATAACCCAATCGATTCCAAATTTTTACACGTTTCTCTGTGAGTATATATCTATCGTATGAACTAGGATAAAGCCAATCGGTGAAGATCTTCCTTATTGTTTAACTTGGTTTTTGGTAAAAAAAAAATCGGCGATTTTCCAAAAATATTTTTTTAAAGTCCGCCATTTTGTTAATTTTAGAGCGAAGTCATTAAACCTAGTTCATACGAGAGCCAGACATGTACTCTTTCTAACACCGTTGGAATTTTCGGATTCCGATGTTCAAGTCAGGAGTTATCATGCCCGCCATCAAAAACAAGGACTTTTCTTTAATTACAAAAAACAACAACAATGCAATAACAAACATTTTTTGTAAATTATTTTTCTTCTCTTTTAAATCTTCAAATATATATGTGCAAAGTTACAAACCTTAACAAGCATTGGTATTGATTTACCATCCCATTGAAAATCTTGAAAAATTAAAATCCGTTAAACCCGCGATATTTTCAAAATAACTTTTTGCAAAATTTCGTGTTTTGGCAGGACAGTTTCCGTCTTTGTAGTAGATGGATTTTAACGAAAAATATTTTATTTTATGCCGTACCAGACAAATGACAAATTTACACATTTGGAAAAAATTTGTTCTTTTTTAATTTGACCGCACAATATTTCCACGTTTGGATGAATATTACTTTAATGCACAGTCAGGAAATAGAAATAGAAATTTCAAAAAACAATCAAAATAGAGTTTCATAATTTCATGCAGATAAATTTTGGAAAAACGATATATAATGTAATGTAGATAAATTTTCGAAAAATTATACATAAGGTACGTAATCCCCATTTTGTAGGTCTCTACTTCTCATTCAGCACGACGGCGTGAAATGAGTAGTTAGTGTCCTGCAGACAAGCCTAAAGCTTCGCTGGACACATTAATTGTAATTTTTTTGTAAATCAATAAAGAAATATTTATATATTATGGAAAGTTTGCAACGACAAATTATTTCCTCAAAAAACTATCCGTTGTAATCAGGGCCCATATGGATATCTGTGGTAAGCAGCAAATTGAGCCCTTAACTAGGCTTTTTGCTTATTTAGTAACTAAAAATCCAGTATTTAGGTAAAGTCATTATTTTTCATATGCCACAAGTCGCACCGTTTAGAATAATTTACTAATAAAAACAAACCTTTAAATACAAATCTGGAAATCTGCAGTAAGTTCTATTTTCAAAATCTACCTTAAGTTCTGTTTTCAAAAGCATATATTATTTTACAATTATGTGAGATTTAGATGTGTATATCCATAACTAACTCATCAAACAAATACAAATTAATTGGGTACTCACCGCCTCCTGCTTCGCCCATGACGGTGACAATCGCGGGCATAATGTCCACGATCACCGCAATCATAACATTTACTTTCAGCACCACCAGCCCCGCCACTACCAACACCTCCTCCACCACCATTGCGTCCACCACCTCCTATGCCGCGACCACCGCCACCACCACCACCGTAACGATCAGGAACTCCAACTCCTCTGCGGTCACCACCCCCACCACCGCTTCGACCTGGTTTAGTGCTTTTACCTGTGGATAGCTCTACGCGTGCCCGGCGGCCACAAATTGTTCGGCCGTCTAAACCTCGCACTGCGTCCGCCGCATCGCGGGCATCTTCAAATTCTACAAATGCAAATCCTGGAGGTGAACGAGCAATCCAGACACTACGCAGAGGACCGTAAGCTCCAAATGCATATTCCAATTCATTTTTGCGAGCACTGTTTCCCAAGTCACCAACATACACTTTCCGATCCGTGGGATAACGAGACATTTTCTTTGACTAAAATATACGAAATAGTTTATTTCAAAGCAAAACATAAATAAAATTTAAACACAATCATTTTTATTCCAGAACTACCAAGAGTAATAACGTTCGTATAGCGAAAACAAGGGTTAAATTCAACACCACACGCAAAATATCGATTATACTTTTTTTACTCCTGTAATCCGTCGCACAGAATTCAGCTTACCATTTTGCTGAGTTTGTGTATTTGTCTTGTTTTTCTTGTGTTCTTTAGAAGACTAGTTTAGGTATTACAAAGCAATTTTTAATGTTTATTAGTTATAAATTATTGAAACATGCTCACAAAAACGAAATAAGTATTCAGAGAAATCCTTTTGCAAAACCAAGCCGACGAATTATGCCAAAATCCAATGATGCCACATCTGTAAACCTGTACTAAAACAAAATGTTGCCATCTCTCAATTGTCAGAAGAACAGACCATACTAGTTATAGTAATGTTTACATAGAGCATTACTGTAATCTGAAACGACATATACATTCAAACTTTTAACCTACTTTATGAGGATTTATTTGACATATATGCAAAGGAATTGACAATTGAAGCCCACTGGGTTAACGAAATCTGGTTAAATGTAAACGTACTATAAATATTGTAAGTTATAGTTATACCCATGGTATAATTTTTACAAGGTAGGGCACAGCTACCAACTGATTACAATTTTTTCTCAAGGTGGCTTGTTCCATCAAATCAAAATACATATTTTGTGTATGTGTGTGTAATGTTTTGAATACGATGTCAAATAAATTCAAAATAAATTGAAATATATTCAAGTTTAATTTAAATGAAAATAAAGTTTTTAACACGTTCGTCTGGAAGTAATTACTTTGTTATAGATGAAACAAGTATTTGATGGTATTCCCTACTGGATTTTGGGAAGAAATCATAACCTTTCATTCATTTTCCGCGTTTTCAGTTTTGTGTTGAAAACATTTCAAATAAACACAAACACTTGTTGCGTATAATTATTTTATTTTTGGCAGAAGAGGCCACACGTGCATAGTTGCTTATTTGTTATTCACCTCAAGCTGCCCTACCATGTTTTATTGTACCATGGTTATACCCATGGCATATTGTGCCATTTAGCTCAGTTCATGGCACAATGAATGGGTAGTCCATTTAGCGCAGCTGATGTCTTGATTAACTGTCAAAGTGGGTAATTTCTACTTGAATTCGATGTGCAGTGTTGCCAACCATATGAAATATTATATGGAAAAATTTGACAGATAATCGAGACAAAACCAAAGATTTTTATTTTGACAGATAATCGAGAAAAACAAAGGTTTTTGTTTTGATACATCACCTTATTATTGCATCATGGCTCAGCTGATGTCTCGATTAACTGAATCCGATGTGCAATGTTGCCAACCATGTGAAATAGTATACGGAAAAATTTGACAGATGATCGAAACAAAAACAAAGGCATGTCCTATATATAAGGGAGACCAGCTGGTTTGCTATCAAAATGCATTATTGTGGATTGACTTCCATTATTAAAAAGTAAACAAAGTCCAAATTTTTGACATTAGACTTGAGAAAAAACAGCTGTTTTCCGATTTCGATTGCTACCTGGGTGACCTTATTAATAGATCTTGAACAAAGGTTTTTAAAATTCATTTTTTAACCCTTTTGAGAACCGATTTTTTCGTAATCATAGAACAATTTTCTGTTAACAGTTTTAATGCAACCATTCTATATAAGATGTGAATAAAATTTGACATCGCTAAATTCTTGCGTTCTGGAGATACAGTACATTCTTTCTGAAAAATAAAAGTCCAATACCAAGAAAATCAAATGCCAAATCGACGGCAAATAATTTTAAATTATTCTCTATATTCGGTTTTACCAGAATCAAAAAAAATTATTATGGCAGGATTCGAACAATTCGAATACGAATTTAAAAAAATGGGACGAAATGTATTAAGCCATGGTATAATAATAGAAGGTAACAGCAAGTGTTGATGTACAACAAACGATACAACAACCACATGGTCAACGCCATTTGACAGAGAAATGTAAACAAACAAATTATATTTATTTTGATCATGTAATATTTTCGAATCCTCAAAATAAAATTGAAAAACATGAACTTATATGTGTAATGGTGTTTTTACACGATATGTATTTTACATATGTGCTGTCACTTATTTCATCCATATGTAATTCCGTATGTGTGTCAAAATTAGCAGTGTACACAAAACATTTATTTTTGTGTTCAAATCGGCATATGTATTTTACATATGACATAACCTATAAACAAAAAAACACTTTTATTTTTTCTTAAATCAACATCATTTTTTTTATTAAACACCTACAAACGAAATAATAATTTGTAGTTGTTGCCTTTTCATCCTTTTTTTGAATTGCAATTGAAATATTTTCTTCCAACAATGTGTTTCATTCAAACAGCTGATTTCCTTATGTTTCACATACGAAAATAGAGCGCGTCCTATTCAGAAAAAAATACATATGTAATTGCATATCGTTTTGACACATTGAAATTTCCGTATGTTTCACATGACGAGTTCGATTTCCATATGTAAAAAAGTGACAGCACATATGTAAAATACATATCGTGTAGAAACACCATAAGACATATGAAAATACTGGGAATTGCGAGTTATCCCATGAAGAAAGATTTGCTTCCTTAAACTTTCCCAGCAGGCAGATTGAGTAAATTGAATACGGGAGGACATTTAATAAAGAACAATTTCGAATTGTATGTGTTCCCAATTTTCCTATTGGGTGATTTTTAAAAACATAATTTGTATATTCATATTGACACTAGTATTACGTTGGAATCAAATCGGCTGGGTTTTGCTGTTACCTTTTATAATTATACCATGAAAAGCAAACATTTAATAAATAAGATTTCAACTCAAATTTTTATTAGAATTTTATATGTATAAATTTTCCCTTTTTTCGCAAAAACGTATTTTCGGGTTTCTCTTTATAATAAGTATAAAAAATTATGACTATACCAAGAACTTTGATACTTAAATTTAATATTTTTCAAAAGTGGTGGGCCAAAATGTACTGAATATTAAAGAAATTGAAAAGTTGTATATTTATATTGTAACAAAATTAATATTTTCATTCATGATTTCAGAATAAATGGTCTCAATGTATGTAAATGGCTTTCAAGGGAACGAAATGAAAAAAGGAACTTATGAGGTAAAGAGCTGGATCTAGTTCCAATCGTTCCTTTCTGAAATGAATTAAATTATACTTTCAAATGTTATTCATCCAAAGTGACTGTTGTGTTTAGTAAGAAGAACTTCATTACAAAAAATATCAAAATCTTCAAAAATATCTTCGACAAGGAATTAAAATGGTGTGTGAAAAATGTGAAGCAAAACTTGCTAAAATCGCAACTCCAGACCCGTGGAAGACTGGTCCGGCTCGTAAAATAAACGAAAACAAGGCCTTGTCTTCAGCAAAAGACAGATATAATCCCATAGGAAAAACCTTACCTCCCTGCAGGTTTGTAATATTGAATCCGCTTGTATTGTATTTCCATTAATTCCTAATTGTATTTTGCAGAATATGCCGCCAAAAAGTACACCAAGCTGGATCTCATTACTGCCAAGCATGCGCCTACAAAAAAGCCATTTGTGCAATGTGTGGAAAAAAACTAATGAATACGAAAAACTATAAACAAAGCTCGACGTGATTTAGTATTATTGAAAACCAATGCATTTTGCCCTACAATTTAATTTATGAACATATACTATACCTTTTAATATTTGATTTAATTCCAAATGTTTCTCTTCTTATTCCATAGTAATTTCAATTTGTTTGCAGTACACACTTTATCAAGTCAACCTTTTCGATAATATTGAATAAGTGTGTGAGTAAAATACTTAACATTTCCAAAAAAAAAAAAATCAACCCCTGTTAAACATAATCCTAAAATCTCCAAGTGCCCAAGGATCCGTAGTATGGTATTCCCCCTTCTCAAGGGTGTTGTAGTTGCATGTAAACAACTGTCGAACTTAAAATTTTGAGGTCCTATCTATAAGTTTTGACTACTATTTTGTAATATATTTAAATTTTATAGTAAATGGAAATAATAATGTGTCGTATTTTTATTGTACGTGGTACCGTTATTTTTTACTCGCCTCAAAATCGATAAGACAACGTAATCGTAATATATTTAAATTTTATAGTAAATGGAAATAATAATGTGTCGTATTTTTATTGTACATGGTACCGTTATTTTTTACTCGCCTCAAAATCGATAAGACAACGTAATCGTAATAAGGTGACTATTATTGCTTCGTCGGTAAAACTATTCAAATTAATAAAAAAAAACAATTTATACAATTAAATTGAATTTGGTCAAAAAAATTATAAAAATTTATTGTTTTGGCTGTATAACATAAACGAATATTTGTAACAATATTTAGTGCACTAAAATGCAATTTCAAGCCGTCCTGTGTGAGATTATGACTCTACGAAATAATTACGAGCTCTGTGCAATTTCGTCATTTGTACCTTGTGATCTTTCCTTCCTCTTCTTTTGGCCAGATGACGCATAACTTAGGGCTTCTTTATTAAATTCTAATGGCATAATACCCAAGTCTCCACTATATCGATTCTTTACTATTTGTAAGTACTTTTTGCCTTTCAAAGAGGTTAAACGTTTATCTTGTATTATTAAAACGTTATCAGCCTCTTGGCTAGCCTTAGCAGAACCAAATATAGAACTTGCTGTCAGATCATCTTCTTCCCGTTCCTTGCGAGGATGCATTACCAATGTCACGTGGAGATTGTGTTTAGTTGCCAATGAACGAAAGGCGGCAATAATATTATCTTGCTCCCAAAATTTATCACTACGATATGTACTTGAAATGCCCATCATGAATTGCAAATTATCAATGATAACATGACTGATGTCGTGAACATAGTGAGCATGTTCTATGGCTTCCAGTACCAATTTCAGTGGTTGTTGGCCGTGGAATGTCATAAAGTACAAGGGATACTTTTCAAACTCTGTGGCCCAATGATCAAATTCATGCAGTTTCTTTTCCAGTGAATAACCCACAAATTGTCTTAACAGCGTTGAAGCAAGCCGGGCATTTCTTATCTCAAATGAACCCCATAGCGTGGCCACACCTTGCAGCGCCAAATCCAATGAATATTCACTCATAAATGTTGTTTTACCACTTCCGGTAGGTCCTGTTATAATTGTCAGTTCTCCTTTCCGGTGGCCTTTAAGAAGTTTGTTTAGGATTGGGAATCTCTTCCATTTGACGCCGTTCACTTTTTCTATATTTTGTAGCTCGCTAAGAATGTCGCTTCTCAAGCTGTTAAATGTTGTAATTGATTTATGTTTCACTGGTGTTGACTTTTGCAAAATCTGACGAATATTGAGACGTTTCCTTTGGGCTTCAAATGGACTGGGCTCCGTGTCGGTCGGCCTTATCAAAAGACAGCGTTTTTCGTCAAGTTTTTTGGAAAATGTCTTGGCAGCATCCCAGTCTAGCGAATCACATTTAAACCAAAGAATTAATTCTTTATACTTTTCTAATGCCGGTAAACATTCTTGAGGTAATGTTTTGAGTCCATATGGAAGGCAAACAATGCTATCTAGATGAAGAAAAATAATATTTACATTAATAAGAATGATAGTAATTTAAAGCATATCAGATACACGTTTGAAATAGCATATAAAATATCTGATTTAATTCAATGGTGGAGACAATACACTTACATGATTCTAAGCGATGAGCTATTAGTACTAAGAAATCTAACACATTTGTAACGACAATGGCTTTCTGATTAGATCCTTGTTCGTATAGTAACATTCCAGATATATTTTCATTTTGGTGTGTTACCTCCAAACCATTTTTCAAATGGAATAATTTTTCACCAACGACTACATTCGCCACACTTTTCAACGGAAATTGTAAGACATTGAGTATAGGATCATATCCCGCCTCAAGTATTTCAAAATCCACTGTTTTCAGTCCCTTAATTTGCAAGCCATCACAAACGCTGGCCGGAACTTGCGTAATCACATTACAAGTGGTTCTAAAAACATTATTTATGACCCTTTTGCAATCGATTATGGTCCTTTCCTTCTCATAGGCGCTCATTACCTGTCGCAATGGAACTTTCACATCGCAATTGGAACATATGAAATTCCCGGTGGTTTTGTTTACAAAAGCCCACTTGTTTTCCAGTGAATTGTGTGTACATAATTTACAGGCAATCTGAAAGCACGTGGGTCCATCTCTATGATCTAAATTCTTTGCTTTCACTATCTTCTTAAATTCTGCATAATATTTGAGATCTTGGTCAGATTCAGTTTTATCGAAAACATAACTTTTTCCCGTGCTTAAGCCTCTGTTCTGTCCACAATTATGCAAATTAATTCTTTGAGGCCATTTCGAAAGGTAAACAAAGCGCCTCAAAATCACCGGTAGATGTGACATTATAAAACAAAGACACACCAAACCATGGTGAATGCATACGCGGGCAAAGCAAACAGCTGATACGCCCTTGTGCTGTCAAATTCTTTCTATTTTGAATTCAATCACAATGGAATTATAGCTTTTGTATGACCTTTGCCCATGGTACAATTATAGAACGTAACATCAAAACACAGCTGATTTGATTCGAACGTAATACTCGTGTCAGTGTGAATATGACAAATTATGTTTTTAAAAATGACCCAACTGGAAGATTTGGTACGCATAAAATCTGAAATTATTCTTTATTATAACCATGGTACAATAATACAAGGTAGGGCAGCTGACAATAAGTTTTTGACAAAAATAAACAAAAACAATGATTAATTCTTTGAGGAAAAATAATTAATGAATTCGTGTATTCTTGGGTTATTGGCGGTTTTAGGTCTGTGAAAAATAAAGTTTAAGACCTGGTCGCGATTAATTTTAAGTTTGTGGATTAAAATCTATTTTTTCTGTGGAGTGGCTTCAAATCTTGTCATCTTAAAAAAAATTGAAGTGCATAAATCCACGGCCAAAGACTAAATCATGGAAATTGTGTTGACCGTATAATTTTTGAATTTTTATAATTTAAAAAGCCGAAATGTAATATTAAAAATGTTTTTGACAGTTTACTTTACAAACAATAATGAAAAAATTTTGAAACCATGTGATTGTCACTTACACCTTATTAAATACACCTTGAAAACAACTATTCACGTGTGGCCTCTTCTGCCAAAAATAAAATAAATATACACAACAAGTGTTTGTGTTTATTTGACATTTATTCAACACAAAACTAAAAACGCGAAAAATGAATGAATGATTTCTTCCCAAAATCCAGTAGGGAATACCATAAAATGTTTGTTTCATCCATAACAAAGTAATTACTTTCAGACGAACGTGATAAAAAATCATTTTCATTTCAATTAAACTTGAATATATTTCAATTTGTTTTGAATTTATTTGACATTGTATTCAAAACACAAAATTGGTCTGCTCCCGTACTGCAAGAATCTACTATTTTTACTTCGATAACGAATTTTCTTTTATGATATCGAATAAAATAGTAAAATAGGGTAGATTCTGTTGCGTGGGGGTCCAATTGAGTGTTTTACCGGCGGCGCTTTTAGCCTAAAAATAAAAAAAATATATATGAATGAAAACATCTTTATTTTTTTTATTATAACTTACCTTTCATCCCTGCCTTTATAGTGCTGCGGCGCAAAAAAACAATTTTTAAACCTGATGCACTTGTGCATCAGACTGAAAGAGAATGAAGAAGAAGACATGTTACCATATTGGAAAACACATGAGATTACCATATGTACGAGTAGGAGGTTACCATATCGGACGGGGTATGTTCAGTGGGTGACGGGTAACAAAAATATCAACCTTGCGACTGCAACATTTAGTAAGGTATACTAGTCTATGTGTATGTAAATGGAATGGAGTTTATTTTGTTCAAGTATTTGTAACAAAATGTCTTGGAAAATCAAGAAAAATGGTGGAAAATAGATGCGAGTATAAAAGGAAAAATGCGGTAAAGCGCAATTTCAGTTTAAGAGCCGCCAACATACCTTACAACAGGAATAACTCAAAGAATTATTTTTTTTGCAAAATATAAGTTTCAAAAAAATTAACTGCCTCGCAGATAATATAGTAAAACTAAATTCTTTTACATTGTGTGGTTGTGCAAAAAAAAAAAAGTAAAGTAAGTTCAAAAAAGAATTTGCTTTGTGGCAGAGAGCAGGAGAGGCCAGTGATTCCTTTTGGCCGTACAGGCTACTGACTCCTGCAATCGTTAAAAGAAATTTGAAGACGGCAATTGCGTTGGGTCTCTTGCTTTGTTCTGCTGCAACAACCAGGAGTGAATAGCGAGGGTAACTACTAACTAAGCCCATGATAACATAATAACCCAAGGTAACCTAATATAAGTGGGTATCTATTTCGATCGAAGAAGAATATAATAAGATTGGCGGTCACTGAACCGAACCTCCAACAGACAATCTGTCAGAGAAGAATTTCTAAAAAAAAAAAAAAACAAAAAAAATCCTGTGTGTGTTAATGTGTTGTCTATGTGTTTGTCTCAGCTTGTAAGAAAAAAAAAGTGATATTGTGAGGATTTTTAACGCCAGGTTAATCTTCTGAGAAGAGGTTTATATTCCTGGAAACCGATAGCAAGATTCTCATTTTTGTAATATATCGAGGCAATATAGCCCGAAAAGAACAGCCTGTCTAAGCGAGCTCCCTTAGGTTAGGAACTTAATAGTCAATCAATCAACCTGCTGAAGAAGTGAGCAACTCAGAATCTCTCTAAAATTTTCTAGGAGTATCTTAAAGACAACCTTAAAATTATATTATTATTACTGGTGTTAGGAATTCAATTGCCAAGAAAAAGCAAAGAATAATAATCAACATTAGTATTAAGGCAAACTATTCAATAAATGTCCAATATGTTTTAGTGTTATAATTGAAAACTAAATATGTGTTAATTTGTTTGTAAAGGGGATATTCTTTAAAAAGGTGATGAGGTGAGTGTGTGTGTGATGTGGGGTTTCCAACAAAATGAATAGAGGACATTTTGGAAACCATGGAAGGGAGGGCAAATGCGGGAGTAGCAACACCAATACTCCCCTATCAAAGCTGGTTTGTGTTTGTAATTATTTGTGTGTGTGCCTTTATTTAGGACAAAAGATATTCATGTTCATCCTGTTGGGCTAGAATGGATGGTTGAGAACCTGACCCTGTGACCGCCAGCGAGCCGGATGGTCCAATCTAGCGCCGCCTTATCAGGACACGTAACAGATGGCGCCCAAACCAAAATTAGGTTTCTTAGAACCACAAATTTTATTATTGTGCAATAACACCGAAGTGCAATAACAATAGACCATAGGGAAAAATATAGTAATAAGTATTATAGCGATATCCTTTGACCTGGCTGGTATTGAGCCATGTTTCCTTTTGGAAACATGTAATGTGCAATATTAGTTTTAAGGTAGAATAGGATATCTAGTATAATACTTCCAGATAAAAGTCGGTCAGTGCAATAACTTGTTCGTCTAGTGTGTAACAATGTATGTATTGTGAATGACCTGTATTTTGTGTTTTATGTAATATTTCGTGTAACTGCAATAGTTGAATTTCGACCAAGGGAAAAGTGCAATAGTCATCTGAATAGTATGACAGATGTTAGTTGTACATCCTATTTACGAGATCTTTTTTTTCAAAAATGAAAAACTGCCGTAGAGACCAAGTCGAAAAAAATGTGAAAAACTCAATCTTGTTTTAGTGTTCGTCTTAACCAGCTTGGATAGCCGAAAGGGCATTTTTTTTAAAATACTGCATAAATTTAAAACAAAATAATTAAACACACACCTCACATACCCATCTTAAGGAAAACCCCTATCTGTTTTGTATTGTGTATTGTGAATCTATAACTTGTTTATTTATATGTTTTGATAGTTTTTTTTTATATTTACATATATTGTTTTATGACCTTGATTTTTTTATTACCTTGATTTTTTTCTATTATCTTTTTAATTTTTATAAATTTTGATTTTTAAAGAAATATTAAGTTGAGCGATACATTTTTTCTTTCAAATGTTGGTAGAATCTTAGGCATTTGCCAATGAATGAGGAAAACGTATTACATACAGAACGTAGAAGCAAGAGAAATCGCACTGCGTCTTTTGATGTGAGTAGAATTTCTGTGCAAACATTGCCAAAATATAGGAAGAAAGATAAAAGTGGCAATATGGTGAATCCGTCTTCCGGCATAGATCCATCAATAATTGACATGTCTCAGACTATAAATACCAATTCTAATCCCACTCCTAACTCGTACATGGTATCTAATGGTAATGTAGCTAGCTCTTCGCATAATCCTTCACCGATGAATAACGAGGTGAATAATGTTCTGAGGGAAATGGTAGATGCAGGAGTAAATAATGCCCAAATAAATTTGAGGCCTCTAATACAAGAGTGTATAGGAGAGGAGATGAAAAAGGTGTATGATGCGATAGGAAAATTGGGAGATGTAGTGAAAAATATGAGTATTGGTAGAAACGACACAAATCATCAACAGAGCAACGTGCCATTTTCCTTTCCAATTCCCCCACCAACAGTCGATAACAATAGACGTCCAGAGATTTCATCAAATAATATGATGTTTGCCCCTCCTGGTCACAATCTGGATAGACCGAGCAAAATGGAGAAATTTAAACTGAAGTTTGATGGTAATCAGTCTGGTATGTCGGTTGAAGATTTTGTATTTAGATTGGAATACTTAAAAAACCAATATAGAGTTTCGTGGGAGGAAATCTTCGCCGAATTCCAGTCTCTTCTATCTGGAGGCGCATATGAGTGGTACTGGCTCCAAATAAAGACAGGTATAGTTAAAGACTGGCCGTCTTTAAAAGACGCGCTTTACCGGAGGTATAGCACTACTAGATCAAACTTTGAGGTGATGAGCGAAATAGTAGATAGGAAGCTTAAACCCGGAGAAGACATAGATAACTATTTCCAATCTATTAATACATTGAGGTCCAGACTAGTTCAACCCATATCTGAAGGCGAGTTAATTCAGATTATTAAAAGAAATTTAAAGGGGGAAATGTTTAGGATGATATACCCAATGAATATCTGTTCCATGGAACAGTTAAGAATGGAGTGCATTTTAGCAGAAAAGACGTGCTCAAAGCGTGATGTTAGGTATATGCCTCCTCCTCCTCACCCTCAAGCCCGTCAAATAAGAGTCAACGAAATCAATCATGATAGATATGAGTATGACGATTATGCATTTTATGAAGAGGATGACGTTCAAGTAGTGGCCGAAGTTCAAACCGAACCAGTTTGCTGGAACTGTCGCAAATCTGGCCATAGGTTTATGGATTGTCTGTCCACACAGCGATCACTCTTTTGCTACCGATGCGGTCAGCCCAATACCGTAGCACCTAGGTGTCCGAAGTGTAAATCGGAAAACGGCCAGAAGAACATGATGTCGGCGGGAAGATCATGTTCGGTAGACAAACCCGCAACGCCACACCAGCAACAACAAAAATAGAAAATACGTCTTACGCTTCCACTAGACACTACATCCCTGTTGAAATTAGAAAATCTAACTATGAAATAGTCAGAAAGAGAATATTTGGAGAGGAAGAAAATACAGGTATAAATGCAGCAGATGAAACATATACTGCAACAAAAGAAAAGCCAATACCTCCAGTAAAACAAAATCCAAAAAAATTTGAAAGGATATTGAAACTTAGGCAAAGAAAAGAGGAAAATAAAAGACTGAGAAACATGGTAACAGAGTCAGTAAGAAAATTTAATGAAACCTCTGATCCAAGGCCATACGCCACAATAAAAATTGGACAGAAACCAATTAGAGGTTTACTAGATTCTGGAGCCACGGTTTCTATATTAGGAAAAGGATGTCGGGAATTAATCGAAGAATTGGAACTGGGTCCAGAATCATACTATACTAACATAAGAACAGCTTCGGGTCAACTACATCGCATATTAGGGAAAATAAGAGTGAAAGTTGAATATAAAGAATTAAATAAAGAAATTTGTTTCTACTTATGCCCTGACCTAGAACAACCCTTATACCTAGGAATAGACTTCTGGAAAGCGTTTAAACTAGCCCCGGATGTTATAGAAGTCCATGAAATTGACATTGAAAAGATTCAAGCGAAGTTTGCCGACGAAACTGAATATAAAAAAACAATGCATTCTCTTACATCAGAACAAAAAGAAGAATTGCAAAAAGTTATTGAGAAATTTCCATCCTTCGAAAAACATGGGTTAGGTCATACGACATTGGAAAAACATAGTATACAGCTGGTAGAAGGAACTCAGCCGATCAAAGATAAGCATTATCCCATATCACCAGCCATGCAGGAAATAGTTTATGAAGAGTTGGACAAGATGCTTGAGTTGAATGTTATCGAGGAAAGTAACAGCCCCTGGAATAATAGAACAACAATAGTACGCAAACCAGGGAAGAATCGCTTTTGCTTGGATGCGCGCAAATTAAATGCCGTCACGGTAAAAGACGCCTATCCATTGCAGAACATCGATGGGATTCTTAGTAGAATAGACCAAACCGTATTCATCAGCAGTGTAGATTTAAAGCATGCCTTTTGGCAAATAGAGCTGGATGAGGAATCGAGACCATACACGGCCTTCACTGTGCCGGGGCGTCCGCTTTATCAATTTAGAATGATGCCATTCGGCTTATGTAATGCCGCACAGCGCTTATGCCGCCTAATGGATAAAGTAATACCGGCTAGGCTAAAGGCCAATGTATTCATATATTTAGATGATCTACTCGTTATCTCCGAAGACTTTAATGGACATTTGAAACTATTAGAACAGGTAGCAGATTGTTTGAAGCAAGCGAACCTAACAATAGGTCTCAAAAAAAGCATGTTCTGTTTTAAAGAATTGAAATACTTAGGTTTCATTGTTGGAGGCGGGGTTTTAAAAACTGATCCGGAAAAAGTTCAAGCTATCCGAAATTTAAGGGTGCCGAGAAGTCCTCGAGAAGTTAGAAGCTTCTTAGGTACGGCGGGCTGGTACCGCCGTTTTATTAAAAATTTCGCAAGTATTTCTGCTCCATTAACGGATACCCTAAAGAAAAGCCCTAAATTCACCATGAATTCTAAAGCCATAGAAGCCTTTGAGAACCTAAAAACAGCATTGACCACAGCACCAGTTCTTAAACATCCAGATTTTTCGAAGCAATTTTACATTCAATGTGACGCCTCCGAGCATGGCATAGGAGCAGTTTTGTTCCAAAAGGGAGATAATGAGGAAGAGTTCCCCATAGCCTTTTACTCCCAAAAGCTAAACAGCGGTCAAAAGAATTACAGTGTAACTGAAAAAGAGTGTTTAGCGGCCGTTATGGCTGTAAAAAAATTTAGACCATATGTGGAGCTGATGAAATTTACAGTCATAACGGACCATGCTAGTTTGAAATGGCTAATGGGGGTAAAAGACTTGAGTGGAAGACTTGCCCGATGGTCGCTCACGCTGCAGGGGTACAACTTTAACATTGTACATCGAAAAGGCAAGGACAATGTAGTCGCGGATATGTTATCCCGCTTAGAAGTAGTCGAGGGATGTGAGATACTGGATAACTTATTCGATTTTGAGACCACAGAATTCGAAAGTCCAGACTATAAAAGTTTAATTCAGCATATAGAAGAAAACAAATATAAATTGCCCGATTTAAAAATTGAAAATGCATTAATTTTTAAACGCACCAGGCATGAGACTGATTTGGAATTGGATGAAATGCCGTGGAAACTATGGATTCCTGAATCCTTAACCCATCTATTGATAGAAAAGGCCCATAACGAGCCAACATCAGGTCACGGGGGTATTTCTAAAACGCTTCATCGCCTTCACAAATTTTATTACTGGCCAAAAATGACCTCTCAAGTGAGGCAATATATAGCCAATTGCCAAATATGTAAAGAGACAAAACCAATTAATCAAAATACACAACCCATGATTGGATGCGAGGTCGTGACGGAAAGACCCTTCCAAAAATTGTACATGGACTTTTTAGGTAAATATCCGCGCTCGAAATCTGGCAACAGCTATATATTTATAGTTGTTGACCATTTTTCTAAATTTGTTTTTCTAAAAGCCATGAAGGAGGCAACCACTGCGAACGTAGTTCAATTTTTGATAGAGGAAGTTTTCAGGAAATTTGGTGTACCAGAAACTGTCCACACGGATAATGGGGCCCAATTTACCTCCAAAAGTTTTAAAAATATGATTGAACTGTTTAAAATTAATCATATTCAAACAGCACCCTACTCGCCACAGTCGAATGCCTCGGAGAGGGTAAACCAATCCGTGCTAGCAGCGATACGAGCCTATTTAGGCGAAGATCATAGAGAATGGGATACATATTTAACCGAAATTGAATGCGCATTACGGTCTTCTGTCCATGCAGCTACGAAGGTTACTCCGTTCTTCGCCCTTTTTGGTTACGAAATGTACACAAACGGTAGTGACTACAAACTAGCCAGGAAACTAAAATCCTTATGCGACCATGCCATAACCGACCTAACTCGAAAGGAAAAATTAGAAATTATAAGAGAAAAGATAGCTCAAAATCTACACGAAGCCTATGAGAGGAGTGCAAAACGCTACAACCAACGAGCTAGGTTAATGAAATTTATTCCAGGACAAGAAGTCTTCCGAAGAAACCATGTTCTAAGTGACTTTGGGAAAAACATCAACGCCAAATTCTGCAGAAAGTTTTTGAAATGTAGGGTAATAAAACCAATAGGGAATAACATGGTTGAAATAGAAGACCTTCAAGGAAAACCATTAGGAACTTGTCATGCTAAGGATCTCAAAACTTAACACCGTTGGGAATAATAGTAGGATGACAAAGATGGTACAAGTTAAATAGTTAGGAATTCCAACAAGGCTACGGCTTTTACAGCGATGTAGCTGAACCAATTCCACATATATGGCTTCCCCATTAATGTAGCAGGTCGGAACTATGCCATCGCGTACTGAGGAAGTTAGTCCAAAGTGGCAGGTACAAATGTCAGATTCCAACTAAAAAAATAGTACCAGCTAATGCCAACCAAACCTATTAAAACATCCCACGACGCTAACTATAAAGTCCCGAGCCAAATAAACCCAATGAAACACTTCAACATAAAGCTCCTACCGCAATTGATATAATTGCCTATAAATAAGTGTGAGTTTTTTAGTAATGATAGCGACTTTCATTAATTAATCTTTTTAAAATTCAGAACCCCAATACTGGACCGGTTGGAATTCTTTTCACAAAATAAAAAGTCGAGAAAGGGAACAGTGAACATGCTAAATTTATTAGCTTCAATCATGGATAGTCCTTATAACCCCATCAATAGATACCTACACCCACAAATCTAGAAAATAAAGCCACAAATCTAGGAAATAAATCGAGAAATAAATACCCCCCGAAATTTACAAATGATATCCGTCCGTTCAAAAAAAAAAAAAAAAACACACATTGAAATTGGTGTCACTGAAGTCCGTCCGTCCGCAAAAATAAAAAAATTACATACCCCTACCCAAACACCATCGTCCGTCCGTCCGACCAACAAATAATAGTATATTTCGACAAAAACTTACCCATTCATGCTACACCGGGTTGTAAATGCAAAGGAGGAGGTGACCGAATACCAATGTCCATTATGAAAGAGCTGACGATCAACATGTAGAATTGTACCTGCAAGAAGCCAGTAATATTTGTTAACAATATTGAAAACATGGTAAGGGGATATACTCACGAAACTGGGTTTGTAAACCCTCCACAACATTCGGTCATATAGACCGAATGACCTCTTCCACATATGCTGAACTGCAAAAATAAAACAATGTGTAAATAAATAACACCAAAATATTAATTGCAAAATACTCACCGAAAACTTTATCGGCACGCGTACAGGAAAAACCTACCAAAAGATAAAAACACAAAATGGTTGAATAAAAAAAGACAAGATGTAAACAAACAAGGAAATGAATGAACACAAGAACAACATTCTTCTTCTTCTTATTGGTATTCATTCAAAACAAGTAGTTGCGTTGCCAATCCCATACTATGTGTTAGGGTTCTATAGTAATAAAAATAGAGAAACAGGACTGGCAACACAAGGTCTATGTGTATGTGGAATGAGACTCCACTAACACACAAATAGGTTACCGGTCCCGTTGAGACTCCACGTGATGGAAGCGTAGGAATACTCACTCCGGAAAGATGTTTTATGCCCGGCTTTCGATCCTCAGGGTGTGGGAGTTCCCCACGTGATAAAATTGTACCACGCACATCGTCCATCGTCTTCAAATCGTCAGCCATGTCCGAAGTTTTGTTGCGTGGGGGTCCAATTGAGTGTTTTACCGGCGGCGCTTTTAGCCTAAAAATAAAAAAAATATATATGAATGAAAACATCTTTATTTTTTTTTATTATAACTTACCTTTCATCCCTGCCTTTATAGTGCTGCGGCGCAAAAAAAATTTTTTAAACCTGATGCACTTGTGCATCA